CATGTAGAAGACATGAATAGAAGAATGTTACTACAGGACAAAATGGGGGGATCTTGGCTGTAGGGGTAGGTCTGTCACTGCTTTTAAAGTGATCAGATTACATCATGACTAAATGTGATGGGTTTGGGAATACAGCATCACTTTAACAGCTAAAGTGTAGTTAGTGATTGGATGAAGTATTGAATTAATTTGGTGAGCCTGGAATATATAAATCACAAGGCAAATAGACACTTAAAAATAGTTTGTCAAATTATGGATGAAGATCAGATGAAAGAAATCAAAAATAGAAACAGAGCAGCCTTTGGGATGTCAGTGGGATCCATCAAAGTCTAATCATTATACAGCTCTGGCATTTAACTTCAGTGTAGGGGGTCCCCCAAGCACTTCTGGTTGGTGGCTTGCTGAGTAAATGTCAGTTTAATGCTGTTTTCCTGCTTTCATAGAAAACCCCTGTAGGGTCTCTCATCAGCTAACCAGTTAGATTATGTCCCCAACGCCTTTAGTCAAGCATAAATGTTACTTCTAAAAGTAGCTGCTTTCTTACCTTGTTTCTATTTCACTCAGTGACATCAGAATTTTTAGCCATCAAAGGTCCAAGAGCAGCTATTTTTGAACAATAAACTAATGGTGGTTTTGATGTTTCTTGCAAACCACATCCCCGGGTGCAGGTAACTGAATTTGACACACACACCATTATAACAGTCAGAATTATTACATATAGATGATGTTGCCCAGTGAACACACAGGAGACAGGTTCATTTCTGCTTCTTTGTCATAAGCACCAACAAACAGAAAAGCTTGTGTCTCCTCTTGTGTTACATATGGTGTGGGGAGAGTAACTCTTGTCACTTTTCTATTTGCAGGATGTGCGTCTGATCATGATTGCATGCTATATCTCTTCATTTAAACATGCTTCACACAGAATGGGGGGGGAAATATTTTTGTTAGTGTTACTTAATTTAGAAAAATATCATCACCTAAAAATGAAAGTAACACAGTCCATTATTCTGTTCTAAACCCTGTAAACATCCACAGTAACTTAGAGTGCCATAAAAACAATATCCCTGCATCAGCAGGGCATCACAGACTAAAGGCATACTGAGCAGGCACAGTATAGTGACCTTTCCTTGTATATCTGTTTCATGGACACTTAATTACCAACATACATATTATACAAAAAAGATATGTAGAAGAATTAATGGCATTAGAGATGGGAAAACCTAGGATACAGGGCTCATTTACTGACCTTCTGTTATAATTACTGTTTAATTTGGGCTCAGAGTGGGAACTTTTTCATGGGCCTGAGCAGTCTTTCTGAGATAGAGCACTTAGAGTGGAGAGAGTTTGAGTAATGTTACCAGACCTGGTAGTTTATAGCCTCTTTCATGTTTTTGTTTTTGGTTTTTTTTGGTGTTTTTTTTTTTTTTTTTTTTTTAAGAAGTCCCTTGCTAAGGCAAGTCATAGGCATGGCCATGCTTTGACTGACCTGACATCTCTGCGTAGCTCCCTGTCAGGCACTGTGAAAGGCTGGACTGTAAATCTTGAGACTTTGTCCATCTGTGAGTGAGTCATGGTGGGAGCAGAAGCTCTGCATTTAGACAAGTACCAGGCTAGGAGTTAGTGCTTTCATAGGACATCAGCTCACAGAGTCCTGCTAGTAGCTAGCAGAAGCTCAAGTTGCCATAAAATTTCTCCCTTTGCCGAAGACTGAATCTGTGATAAAGCAACAGAGCAACCATGTTTAAATTTGCAGTCTAATATCTCACCTGCAGAAATTATTTTCCTAGCATAAGAGAGTAAATTTTTACAAGATGAGAAAGCATCATTACTTTGCATAACTTTGATTTAGTTACAGTCAGATTATTAATGTTTTTTACTGGGTTTTTGTACATAAAATATAAATGAAATCAGCTATTAAGATTCTGCCTTTTTACTGCATCATAATGTGCTGCTATTTTTATATAATCATCCCTTAATGCATTACATGCTTCATTTTCATTAAATAAACATTTGGAATGTGTAAAATTCATATTCATTAGTATTTTTTTAAATATAAGGTAATGGACATGCCTCTGTATGAATACATGATATTTTATCTCCTGTTTCATAGGAAGAATTATGAAACCCCTATATAAAAATAATAGGGGATTTTCCCATTTAAAAATTTTTCTTCTCTTTTAGTCTTCCATATACGTTAAAGTAATTCAAATACACTTAGCATTTGTCCTATTCTCTCTGTTTCGTCTTGGCTCTAGGGCTCCAGAGAGGTGATCTCAAGTATAGTTTGATCTATACAAACTATACTTGTCACCACACTGCACTGTATATTCCACTTACAGCTTTGCCTATTTTCCATCCTCTACATTTTTTTTTTCTTTATGACCAGAACCCATTAAATCCAGGCTTCTTGTGGCTTTGAAGTTTCCGTAGAACTTGGCATTGATAGCATGCTGCCTCTGGGTCTGAGCCAGATGCCAGTGTAGTTGCTGGAAAGGCAATGGGAGTTGAATGAAACCCCTCCATAATAATTTTCCAGCCAGTGGACTATGCTTATCAAATGTCTTCTGCAGAGAATCACTGAACTCAGTGATTGAATGGCTGACATGGGAAGGGATCTGTGTTGATTGTGCAGTACAAGCCCCTGCTCAAGCACCTATACCAGATTGCCCAAGACTGGGTACAACCAGGGTTCAAATATCTTCAATGATGGAATCTCCACAACCTCTCTGAGCATCACGTGGAAGAGTGGGAGTAGTCTCATTTGGCCTTTGCTCTTTTTAAAAGTGAGACTTGTCCCTTCTGCTTCGGGAAGTCCTGGAGCAGACTGGAGATGCAGTGTGTAAATTAGGGGAATTCTAGTAAAACAGTAATTGTACTGGGATATAGCTCAGCAGGGAGGAGCAGGTCTGTACCCAGTGCATCCTTCTGTTTACTTTCCTAGCATGGGATGAAAGCTCCTGGGGCACACACCAGCTCTCTAGTGATGTTGGTGTCATTGAAAAGCAGAGATTTGTAAAGAGAAGTGGAAAATCCCAACAGCAGCCTCTGATAAGTCCTTGTTCAAAGATATTTAAGAGGTGCTCCTAGTACCTTCATGGACAAAGAGTGAAAAAGGCACAAGGACAGGATGTCCTAGAAAAGTTGAAACAAATAAGGCAGTGTGGCTGTAGTCTATCAGAGACACAGTTAGACAAAAAATATGCTTGATTTCCATTTACTTGAAAAACTAAATTATTTCCAACTATTGTAGCTGGTCAAATGGTGATGAAATACAATGTAAAAAGATTAAAGGCATGTGCTCCAATGAAAAAAAGAATCAGAAGCTACAAATGTTCTGATTTATTTTGTTCTTTCCATAGTACTATTTTTTCAGGCTTTTGGGATGTTTAATAACTGAGTAAAAAAAAGATGCAATGACTGTATTTAATAGTGGATTAAATCAGAGACTGAATTTTGGCTACTTCTGAATAATTATGCAGTCTTATACATATGTGTATTTTCAGGTACTCTTTTCCCAGTACACCTGTTCAAAGTACCGTGATGTCCTAAAATCATAACAAGATAATTCTGTGATCACATCTGCCAGGGAGTTAAAAACTCAGTTGTAGTCTGGCTTTGCAGATTGCTTGAAAGGAATTTGCTAGAGTAGCAGGTAACAAAGCAATGTATTGTCATGGGGACTAGGAAAGCTTCAGTTCACAAGCTGTCCATTGAAGCAACAGAGAAGGCATTCTTCAGGGTTAAGGGTAGTTTGGATTAACAAAACTTTGTTGGTTAGAAACTAAACATGATGAGACAATTTTTTTATAGTCATAGATATGGTAAATTCCTATATAAGCCAACAGTAACCTGAGGAAAAACCTGAGGAATTGCAGTAGATAGAAGTTATGGCTTGTGCTTGAAAGGAAAACACTTGGGTTCACTCAGTATGTACACATGACCAATAAATCACTCCCTTGGAATTTCCTCTAAGTTCTCTGCACAATATTTTCGAAGACAACAGACATTACTCTGAGTACACCCTTAATGCTTTTTAGTTTGGGTTTGGTTTGGTTTGATTTTGGTTCTTGACTTAACCCTATAATTGTACAGTCTTCTTTTTCCTCTTCAAATTTACTTCCATTGTATTTATGAGATTCTTGAAACTCATACTTTTTTTTTTTTTTTTTTTTTTTTTTTTCATTTCTGGGGACAGAGAGACACTTACCTAAATCTCTCTGCAATGAGAACAGTGACTCTCAATAGAAGAGTGACTGGGAATTAGACTAGGAGATTAGAAGCCCTGGGCTCTAAGATTACCTGTTTTCTAATTTTTACTATGCTTTGAGTCACTTCTCTATATTCTAATTTTTCCATAAGTGAATACTTATTACATTAACCATTAAAACAAATACACTTCCTCCTATCAGGGCAATGGTTATACTAAATGAGCCATGACTAGTTCTTATGGCATTTTCCTTTGCATAATTGTAATTCCTTTGTGTGAGTGAATACATAGTAATAAAAATCCCTCATATTTTGTTCTATCGGAACCTGGAAAAAACAAGAAATATACAAACAGTTGTTTCTGACCCTACTCAAAATGCTTACAAAATACTCTTTATGGAATGTTTAAAACTCTGAAAAAACAAATGTTTCCATTTCATAGAAACATTTTTTAAATAACTTTGTTTTGAAAGCCGTTGTATTCACACAAAAATAAGGATGATTTTGCATGGAACACCTATGATGTAGAAATCATTTCTTCTCACTATTAGGAACACCTTTGTAGATCTGTGTAGCTTTCCTGCTGTTATCCCTCTTGAGCCCTTCTCTTGTGTATTGATTGTTGACTGATGAGCACACGGTTTCTCATGCTCCTGAGCAAATCTAAATCTTAATTTTTATTTCTTCAGCTCGGATTTTCTCAGAAATGCTTTCGTATGCCTTGTTACGGTTTGTTGGAGGTTTTTAAAGTTAATTGACTAAATTTGATGCTTTTACCTTCCCTCTTTTTACAGATTCAATACTGACATTGAGAGAGATTCAAATCCCAGAAGTTGTCACGGACTTGTATTTAGAACTGGTATGTCCTGAATGTTCACTGTAATTCTCTCTGGTTAAGGTTAGTTGTGATGCCCAGTTACCACGATCTACTTCCGGTTTATGTTTTAACATTTTCTCTGTAGTTTTTAAAAAGTCTTTCAGGCTTCTCAGTTTTAAAGAAATCAAATATGAAGGCAGATACAAAAAATGAGAGAAGTTAAGATTCGTGTTAAGCACTAGTCTCTGAAATTGAGGAAACAGGAAATAAAGGAGGAAACTTCTCAACAGTCATTCCATAGTCAATAATCTGCTAGTGTGTCTTTACAAACCTCCCCATTGCAGCACTAAGCCTGACAGAGTCCAGGAAGTCTGGTGAGATTCATGCGATATCCTGTGCTGATCCAGGAGTTGGACTTGATGACCCTGATGAGTCCCTTCCAACTCAGCATATCCTATGACTATATGATTCCAAGTCCAGACTATAAATCTATATAAAATATCAATTGCTCAGCACTACAGGACTCTACAACGGTTTCTACTGCAAAAGGAAATAAAGCAGAGTTGCATGCTTGTGCGGATTTGTTGAATTGATTTTAATTTCCATGCACAGATCCCAAGTGGCCCTGTCATGAACCTGCAACACTTAATTTGACTGCAGAAATCAGCCAGATGTATCAAATATCTGCTCTGGATCAATCTTACAATGAGACTGAGTATTCAGCAAGCAGTGAAATCCACTGTAGTATGATAGAAATACTTAGTATATAAACATGGTCTATCTGAAGTAACTAAGTACTAAATGTCAGTTCTATTTTTGCAGCATTAATTATTTGAGAAAAAATGGGCAAATTTAATTTAGTTGTATTAATTTCATTATAGATTTAGTCTTTTTACTACAAAGGGAGGCATATGAAAAAGAAACCTAAACATGTTAGTAAGCTTGATTATTCAGTTAATATTTCTGTTAATGACCAATATTGAAATATAGTATTACATTTACTAAAAAAAAGACAAAGATATTAATTTTTTTTTGTTGTTTTTATACTTTAAAGGGAATATTTGCTTATAACATAGATGTTAACGATCAGGACAAAGGGATGGTAACAACACAGTGTTTTTTTGATTATTTGCTTATTTTGATTTTTCTGTTATTAATTTAGGAAAACCATCTCGCTTGATCTTCTTCTGTTATTTCACCTGTAAGTAGAGCATCTTTCAATTGACTTTTTATTAAAAAGTTAGAGAGCTAGTTTGAGCTGTTCATTTAGTTAAAGCTTAAGCTGTACATCTAGCCAACTTCTTTAACAAAAAAGAAAGTTAGATTGCTTGAAGACCAAATTATATAATAATGGAATAAAATTCAAGTAGGATGTATCTTTTTTTCAATATGTATGTGTCTCTTCATTGACAATAGAATCAATTGTCAATTGGCTTACCTTAGTATTTAACTTTTATGTGGTTAAAATTAGGAAAAAGAAGCCCACTCTAAAATTCCAAAATCTGGGATTTTGGATGATATCCCTGACCATTTTACAATTTAAATTCTTCCTCCTCTCTCATTTCTGGGGTACTTGCTTTGTAGTGCTCCATCTTCTTAATCTCTCTATTATTTTTCATGGAGCTGAAGGATAAGACTGCAGGTTTTACTATTAGCCATAAATAAAATCAATAATACTGCAAATAACAGATCTCAAAATCTAAGTTTATCTGATTTCTGAAATCGGAAGCTCTAAAATGTTTCTTCAGAAAATGTTCAGTAGCTGGTCTCCTGTTTCAAATAAACTATTCTAGAGGGTATGATTTGCTCATATTTATAGTTAAAAATAAGTTATCTGATGATTTCTTCAGTTGCTAAAAGGGAACATTTAGTTAAAATGAGGTAAAGGAAATATGTATGTTAAAATTTATCATATACTGTATCATATGAGTAATGCTTCATTTGAGATTGACTGATTTTATTATGCTGTGATGAATAACAATGTTCTATTTTAGTTATGTATTTCTACTCTTAACTATATGAAGTTTAGTCATTCACCTTATGTATTTTCCCTTCCCTTCCCTTCCCTTCCCTTCCCTTCCCTTCCCTTCCCTTCCCTTCCCTTCCCTTCCCTTCCCTTCCCTTCCCTTCCCTTCCCTTCCCTTCCCTTCCCTTCCCTTCCCTTCCCTTCCTTCCCTTCCCTTCCCTTCCCTTCCCTTCCCTTCCCTTCCCTTCCCTTCCCTTCCCTTCCCTTCCCTTCCCTTCCCTTCCCTTCCCTTCCCTTCCCTTCCCTTCCCTTCCCTTCCCTTCCCTTCCCTTCCCTTCCCTTCCCTTCCCTTCCCTTCCCTTCCCTTCCCTTCCCTTCCCTTCCCTTCCCTTCCCTTCCCTTCCCTTCCCTTCCCTTCCCTTCCTTCCCTTCCCTTCCCTTCCCTTCCCTTCCCTTCCCTTCCCTTCCTTCCCTTCCCTTCCCTTCCCTTCCCTTCCCTTCCCTTCCCTTCCCTTCCCTTCCCTTCCCTTCCCTTCCCTTCCCTCTTCTTTCTCCATATTTGGATTAGTTTATTTCATAAACATGCGGAGTGTCTTTAGGGTGATATTTGATGCAAATTAGGAATGATGGTAAAGGTCCTTCTTCCTTTCTAACTTTCACTAAGGTAAATAAGTTATAAAAACTTACAGAGGGAGAAAGAAGAAAGTGAAGAGCTGTATTTTCTCTATTACTGAGATCCATCTTGGTTAGAAGTGCTTTGTACAAAGCTGGTAAAAGTTACATAAATGTCTTCTTGCCTTTGGGAGCCATCTCTGTCAAGACAGGCAGGTACTCTATATCTAGCTATCTCTTTTCTTGTTTTTATTTGGTACTACACACTCTGAAACTGGCCAGTACAATGTTGCTCATGTTTTCTCTGAAGCCCCTGTGTACAAGGTCTGTTCATGCTGCTTACAGAGACCACTGGAGCTGATGAGAGGATTTGTCTGCAAGAGAGGGCAGCCAGCTTTCTGCTAAGGCTGCTGACAGAAGGAATTGATTTCATAATTAGAGATAAATGGCACCTCCCTGGCAACAGACGCGTTGAGTCACATCTGCTATGCATGTACCTCTAGGCTGTTCTCCTGGAAACTGGCCTGTATGGGATCTGCCTGCCTCTCAAAACCAAGAACAAAAATGACCTTTTTGAACAGCTTATTTCAGCCAGGTATTCCAGCTACTGAATGTTTATAGCACCTATTGCGCCACTTATTTTTCATGGTTTCCAGATATCCTGTTTTAAGGCAGGTGTCTTCAGTGCATCCCCTAGGCTGAATGGGATGTCATAAACCACTATAAACTCCACTATGTAGATAAATTTACCAGAACCCGATACAGTTTCCTATGCACCTTTGTGATTAACTAGAGATAAGTGATTTCCCCAAACTTTTTGAAACAATATTCAGTGATCAAGATACTGCTTGTACAAGGTAAGGCAATAACTGCTTTCAAAATTTAATGCATACAGGCACATAAAAAAGGTGGAAATTAGCCAGCCAACTAGATTGAAACAGCAATTAGCTAAGGAGAATCCTATGAGCTGATCTGAGCAGGCAAATCAACCTTCATATGTGTCTCCTACATAAAAGGAGAAATCACTGAAATTTTGTCACTTACCATGATTCCTCCTCTAGACAAGAGATAATTAATCATCCTCTTGCCCTTTATTAGGTAGATTGAGCTGCTATTGAAATTATGTACTCATCAGAGTAATCAGACCTCACAAAACACTTGACTTAACAAATTACGTAGATCAATAGATAGCTTCACTTTTCAGTAACAAAATGACACACTGTAAGAAACTGCAGAGTAATTACCACCCGTATTTTCTTTCCCTTCACTCAGTAAGTCCACTTTTTGTCTTTTCTCTGTTTTCTTCATGTAATGAAGGTTCTCTTATCTTCCTAAAGAAGTCTGTCAAATTGTTTCATATTCAGCTTTTGATAAATATGTCAAATTATTTTTCCCAGGAGTATAAACAGTGATAACAAAGGAAAAGAAAAATCAAAAGACATAGCCCTCTAGAATTTTTAGTGATGAGCAATAACAAGTGACTTCATTTATTAAAAAGTAGATTCCAAGTGGTGCGGGAAATTATTTGGTGGTTTAAAACGGCAGTGCAGAATTTCCTGTTATTCATGTATTATTTCCTCTCTCCTTCAAATGTAATATTAGTTAAATGATAGCTTGTTTTTTCATTATGTTCAGGAAATATGATTCAACATTTCTGCAATGTTTCTTGTAAATGGAAGTAACTATACTTCTAGAAATTATAATGTTCAATATTAGTCCCTGTAGATAGCATTTCACTTGGAAAAGTAAACACAAATGTAAATGGAAAATACTTCCAGCTGATTAGACAAAATGTGAAATCAAAAGTACTTCCAAATACAATGTTATAATTGCTTTAACAGAACATTGAGGATAATGAAAAATAATTTTCTCTGAAAGAAACCAAGAGCTCATATTGATGTTAAGTACAACACAATCCCTAGAATATTATTCCATTTTTTTGTTGAGATCAGTAATTTGTTTACAAAATCATGCCTTTGAAATACTGTTTAGATATTGAAAGATGAAAAAAAAATCTAATTTTGGCTAGTAAACCTCACTATTTAAAATATGTTCTTTATTTCTGCTTTGACTTTGATAATCTCAGAACAAGCCCAGTGAAAGCAAGTTGCTTAGGACTCCATTCAGCTGAGTCTGGTCTGAATATCTTCAAGCCAATTCTGAGCTTATCCAAGGACAAAGAATCCACAGCCTCGCTGGGCAACCTGTTCCAGGGCTTTATTATGCCCAAAGATTCATGGTGTCTATGGCCTCTTCAAAACATTTTGAAAATATTCCATTACCAGCTATTTCAGATTACTTGAGAAGTGTTTATTACACACAGAATAATTGTGAACAAGATCCAGTGCTATAGAGAATTTTTCAGAAATCAGAATAAAAATATTTTTCATTGCAATTCTTAGGATACCACCATTCCATGAATAGTAAAGAGATAACTGTGTTATAAAAATCCTTAATGACAACATTTGTTTTTGAAAATAATAGATTGAGCTAAACATATTTTAGTTGAGAGTCATCATGAACTTTATATATCTTAATATAAAATGACTTTGGTGTGAATTTTGTATTTATGCTGCCTTCCCAGGATTGATTAAAATCACTCCCATTGCATACATAAACATATCTCTGTAAAATTATCAAGGACCAGGACCCTATAAGGTATTATAAAGTGGAAAACCTTTCTCTGCATAATCCATATATGGTTTTGTGAAGCAAAACTCAGACTTTATGAAAATAAAGGGTCAAGAATTTGGAAAGCTGAAGAAAATAACAGGATTATAACTACTGAATTAAATTCAACTTTTAAAATTTTTCTGGAGACATAAAAATTATTTTCCAATCATTAGGGATGCTATATACTTACAAATCAAGGCAAGATCTGAAGACAAAAAATTTCCTTTATATTTTTCTCCTCAGTGTCTTTTTCCACAAAAAAAAGGCATATAGATACTACTCAGACAAACAGTGCTGCTTAATCTAGTGCAAGTTCCTGAGGGAAAGAAGGCAAATATAACGTTTATGTTTTCTGAGAGGCAGGGGAGAGATTGGAAATTATGGACCAGTTATCTTAACTTCAGTTTATGCAATAGTAGCAATATGAAAAGATAAATTTTTGTAAACCCCCCAAAAATAGAGTGAAAATGGGTACCAACACATGTAAATTTGACAAGAACATATCATAGCATCTGCATTGCCTTCACTGTTGGTAGGAATTTCTGAATATACAGAACAGTATATATTGTATATCTTGACCTCACCACTGCCTCTTGTTTTGTGTGACATTTTCACAAAACAGAGAAGATCTTCATAAAATTGCTATGAGGCAGATACATGTTTAGGAAACCATGTTTAGTAGTTATTAATTGTTCTTTGTTTTCTAGCATTATGTATTGAGCAGTGTTCTGCAGAGATCAGTCTTGTGCCCGGTTCTTATCAATGTTCTCATTAGTGACTTGAGTCATTGAGTAGGTAGTCAATGATTAAATAGTGTAGTGTGCTTATTAAATTTCCAATGACATCAAGCTGTGAGGGTCTGTAAACATATATGAGGACAGACTTAAAAAGATCTTGAAAAATTAGGAAAATCATTTAAATAAATTGGATGCAATTCAGTAACAAGAAATG